AACTGATAGAGTGTGTACCAAATATGGGATTCCTTCGATGCTACACCCGGTGTTTTTCACCGGGTGTAGGGATCGAAGGAACCATAAATATGGGACATACTCCATCCGTTCCTAAACATGTGTCGTTTTTCACCTTGACACGAGTCTTAAGAATCTCAATAAATATGTCTTGATTTTAGGAAAATAGATATATATATAGACCAAAATACCCTTGTTTACTAATTAATACATAAAGAGTGTTGGACAATTAATAAGGGTATAATTGAAAAATATGTAATTAATGCAGCATTGCAATTATAAAGTGACAGATAATATGAAACATTTTTTTTCTTAAAGACAGATATTATGGAACAATTACCCTTACCAATAGAGTAAATGTCTAGGGTTTGAGTTCCCCCTCTAAATAGTTAGGACATGTTTTAAGTTTTAACACATTTTAATTTTGGGGTCCATTTTAGAAAACCATCACATGCAGTGTTTGTTCAAATGGAATTCTCTTCTTAGCCATGCCACAAATTGAAATTCGTTGAACTTTTCAAAGGGAAAAAAGTTGCAAAGTTTGTATATTTCAAACATTATTTGATTGTTATAGAAAAACTATCTTTATTAAATACATACTCGCTTTATTTTTCAAAATTTTCTTTCGAAATACGTTTTTAGTTGTAATTTGTAAAACGCCCCTCGCCCCAAATCATGGAGGGTAAGATTTAAGAAAATTTAAATTTGTCCATTCATGATGGCTCTCCAGCTTTGGAGAAGTCTATTTGATGTTACATTTGGTGAAATAAATTACATATTTTTTAACTATTGATCTGCATATAATCTCACACACGTATTTAAGTGTATGTATGTTTAGTGAGTGGTTAAATTTTTGATATGTTTAATTGGGCCGATCCAAGGGCCTACAATTTCTTAAGTTATTGGGCCACGAGCTCAATCTTTAATACCACTACAACTGAAGGCCAAATCACCTTCAAATAAGGGTTTAGGCCCGACAATCTCTAGTATTAACTTTAGCCCAATAAACGATCTACAAATAAAGATTTTAACTCATTTGTTAAGGTACGTTCAATATTCGAACAATACAACTGCTCGTATTCTCTCTACGACTTTTGTAATCCACACGCCTGACTTGAGCGTCGGAGGAGTTTCCGCTGGATCAACCTCTGACTTTATTTACGTGTTCTCTGATCGCAGGTATCTCAGGGTCATCAAACTTGTGAGCCAGTGATCAACTTAACTCTTTCAACTCATCATACTTCAATTACATCAGGTTATCTATCTTTAGAATATCAATTTTAATCCCTTGAATAGTTAAAAATCTCCAACTTATTAGTGAGGTTTGCTAGAAGCTCCGCATAGATGGGAACAATTTAACCATAAATTATGTGGGACCACTTTGGAAGGGGTTTGTCTCCCTCCGTTCTTGGTTGTTAATGCCCAATGAAGACCACTTTTTCCTATTTGAAAAAAAAACAAATTTAATATTATATTGGGTAAACTTTGGTGGGATATCACTTTACTCCCTTGAACTCTCAATTGCATCGATTTGCATCATTGTACTTTGGATTGATATCACTTTACCTCCTTCTTCTCATCGATTTGCTCCCTGGTACTTTGGCTCGATATCACTTTACCCCCTTCCACTCTCAATTGCATCGATTTGCCCCCTGTACTTGAAAAATTGTCTCAATGTGGCCCTCGCCGTTAGTTTTCAGACATTTGACCTTAACACCGTTTGATCTAAGTTTGAAATTTACAAAAAAACCACCCATCCCAGTTTAAATAAATATTAATAAAAAATAAAAAAAAAATTGTGGCTGGTGTCGCGGACTATGTTTTCTTGCTGTCTTAATCTTTTCACTATTTTATTTGTTGTTTTTTTATAATAATTATTTAAACTGGAGGGGTGACATTTTAGTAATTTTCATACTTAAATCAAACGGTGTTAAAGTCGACTTTCTGAAACTAACGACGAGGGCCACATTGAGACAATTTTTCAAATATATGGGGGCAAATCGATGCAATTGAGAGTAGAAGGGGGTAAAGTGATATCGAGCCAAAGTAAAAGGAGGCAAATCGATGAATTGAGAGTAGAAGGGGGTAAAGTGATATCGAACGAAAGTACAAGGGGGCAAATCGATGCAATTGAGAGTATAAGGGGGTAAAGTGATATCCAACCAAAGTACAGGGGGGAAAGAGGAATTTACCCAATAAGAAAAGCAAACATTTTTCTCTGCACAAACCTTTTGTGCTACATCAAGACCGCCACCGCCACCTGTGACACTTGCAGCAAACTTTCATCTCGATCCCCAACACCAGCAAACCTTCATCTCCATCCTTAACACCATTAGTTGTTTAATTTAATGTTTAAGACATCATGTGTGGTTACATTTTTTTATATGTTAATGTGTTTAGTTAAAGAATTTTAGAGGTTTATTGATTTTGTGTGAGGGTCGTTGCTCTCCTTTGTATTTGGTTCTCAAATTATGTAATTTTCATAAAGAACAAGTGGTTGGGGTTCTTGTGTTTGATGAGTGAAAAAAAAAAAGAAAAGAAAGAATAAAAGGCTGTGTTGGAAAGGGCTAATTCTGGTGTTGTTTCTCTTTCTAAAGTCTATTTTTGTAGATTTTGGTGTGTTTTATAATATGCTCTGTTTTATTTCCATCTTGTTTGTATCAAAATCACATATAATTTTCATGTCTATATTAACTAATTATGAGATATACCTTATATTTTTGGTTTAACAAGACGCATTGCGTGTTGTTAAAACCCATTCTTTTCATGTAATGAAATTACAAGTCATGCGAGTGGCACGTGCAACTTCCGTCCAATTTAGGTGGAAAATTAAATGGCGGACTATTTCTGCTAAAAAATTGTCAACATTAGGGACTACTGTTGTAACTCGAAAATATTAGAGACAATATCGAAAAAGTGGATAAAGTTTGAGGACGAAAAATGTAAATTTCCCGACCTATTCTTAAAGAAGAGTATAAAACAATAAAAATGGATATGTGGTTTATGAAACCCGTTATATTTATCGACGAATTTAGAGAGTATTCAGGGTGATTAGATGCTACACCTGCTTATTTATATTGAATGAGTATCGTAGATCAACACATAATTTTAGTACTTAGTGGATAATTATTTAATCCGATCATCTACGGTTAACAATAAACTGATATAAATAATCCGATGTAATATCTCTAACTCCCTTAGTATCTAATTATCTGTAATGAATGCTCTTTTTTAGATGGGAAAAAAAAATTATATATATTTTGCTAGTACATGTGTAGATATTCTAGAACAAAGTTGTACACGTGAATCATGCACACTCCAATCATTGTACGAAATCGTGGTTGTTATATCTATTAATTACAGGTCGGGATTCAGCTAATAACCAAATTGGTTTGTTAGAATATTGGTTTTGTATGTAATTAGTAATTACTAATTACTAAGATGACATAATTGCCAATATTTAGGTAGTGTGTCAAATCAGTTCATCTAAGAAAGAAAATTGGACTATTTGTTTGAATGTATGCTACATCTTGGTAAAATAATATAAGAGGCCTTAATATATAGGTCCGTAGTGAGAAAACTTATTAGAATTAAATGACAAGCTTAATTAAATCTTTGCTACACATCATTATAAAATTCATTCCAAAAATGTCCCCACTCACAAATTTGAAATATGCTTTAATTAAAATTCATATTGCATTATTTATCATTTTTTTGGCTGGAATATTTTCATTTTTATGTTATATTTTTATTTTTATTTTTACAAAACACACGTTATTCTTTTTTCTTTTTTTTTTCTTTTTTTTTCTTTTTTTTTCTTTTTTGCTTTTCTGTTTCTTCATTTACACATTTTCTACACTAATATAAAACAAAACAAAAATCCTCTTTTTTCTATATAATACAGAAAACTACAAAAAAAACATTTTTTTTTTATTTTTTTAATCCAATTTATATATGTTTTTATATTTTGTTTTAATTTTATCTGTTGTTAATAATATTGTAGTAGAATTTGGTGTTCTATGATATACTACGATAGTACGATGTACTATAGTTTACAGTGTACTATATTTTACTACTGCATACTATAGTTTACTACGGTATACTATGGTTTACTATGGCGTAGTATTCCAAACCCTAGCATCAAAAAAAAAATTATCAGCCGTCGGCAAACCCTAGAGCAAACAAATCACAGCCGCCGCCAACTACTATCCACCAACCCTAGCCGTCAATCAAAATCCAAGCGTCGTAAAACAACCCTAGGTTGATGCAATCGCCTCCAACCATCGATTTAACCTCACACCACCATCTCCAATGGCCACATCCACCATAACCATCACCTGATCTATAACCACGACCACCACCGCCATCGACCCACCTCCGCTGCCCCCTTCTACACCCTCCCCTCCACCGCACCGTCGCCGTCGAGGTCTCCAAGAACCTCGAGATCTTCAGATCTAGCATCGCCTCCTTCACTCTACTCTATTGCTCGGCGACGGATCTGGATGGATCCTCAAAATCTTCAGATCTCGGCATAGTGGCGGTGGCATCCTCGGTTTGCACCCATTGATTTGCAAGAGAGAGAGAGAGAACGTGATGGGCTGACGACAAAAAAATGAGAGAAGGAGAGAGAGATGTGGAACGGTTGAGAAGAAGAGAGAAAAGACTGAGGTGTGGCGAGTGGAAAAAACAAAAAGATCGTGAAAAGAGAGAATGAGAGGAATGAGAGATAAACCTAATCTTTTATTATTTATATTAAGGGTATTTTCGGATTAAACAAAAATAAAAAGATGCGGATCAAATTTTATTTTGAACTAAGGATTTAGTTAAGATATTTTATTTGAGGTTGTCATCTATTTCAAATTAAGTTTGTGTTGCGGGGCTCCTAACAAATTACCCCATAATATAAATATTAAATACAGTTAATCCTCTATACATTAATACAGTAGGAAATCAAAATTTTGTTAATTAAATAAAATATTAAATTATCAAACTGATAATTTAGTACAATTTTACCGTCGGACTATAAAATATTAATATTTAAGCGATGTTATTAATTTATCGAGATTCTACTGTATATGTGCTTGTGTACGTGAAATTTATGTATGATTTACTGTGGACTCATTTTATAAATTAAATAATATATAAGTTTTAAATCACTTCTTAAAACTTTTCTTTTGAATCCATAAACGTTAATAAATAAATAAAAAAAAAAAAAAGAAACTTAAATTTACTATGAGAAAATTGACATATGAAATGCACTTCACGAATTTAGTAAATTACTTTTATGAGGTGAAGTATGAATTGCATTAGTGCATAAGTAGCCAAATTAAATAGAATCTTACATACAATCAATATAGTGTTTGACAAAGACTCCAAAGCATGGGTAAGAGGATAATTGCCTTGTCTCTAATAAAAAAAAAAAAATAGGAAGACAAAAATGACAATGCCAAATTAATAGAAAACAAATTTATATATATATATATATATATATATATAGTTCCTCCCCGTGTATCAACTATCAAACTCATAACCAAACAGGTCTAGATACAAGGTGTTTACCAACATGCTACCTTATCTTGACGGAATTGATAAAATTGAAAATTCATGTTATGGTCCCAATTGTTTGTGTTTTTGGACCTCTACTAATGTGGTAGGGTCTAAGTAAAAAAATTAATTTTATTTTTATTTTTATACATATAAAATAAAAACACTTCATACAAGAGTATTTATTTAAAAAAAAAAATATGAGGTATTAATTTTTTGTAATAAAAATAAATATATAAATTTTTAAAATAATATGATAATTGTTTTTCTAGAGAGAGAGTGGGGTAAGTATTTCCCTGGTCTAACCTCCCCAGCAACAGGACAACTCTAATTTGTTGAAGGCTTTAAATAGTGTGGGTCTTGAAAGTTAGTTATTTGGTGTCACAGATGATGACATGAATCATGATCACGTGACACAATTATTGTATTTGATTCATAACCATATCTTACCTTGTTTGGTTCAAAAATGGGACCTCCAATTGTTGGTGAATTTTGAAATAAAACCATAAAGTTTGATGAGGTAGTTTTTTTTTTTTTTTTAATAATTCAAATGCATTAATAAGGGAAGGAGAAACAACGAGAGGAAACTCTCCGTCACAAAAACAATTAACATGTAAATCATCAAACGGAATAAAACCAGTCCAACTACTAGAAATAGCCCAAGCCGCTAGGTTATGGGAAGCAAAATTAGTGTTTCTTGAGATGTATTTGAAACGCCATTTAGGCCACAAGACCCAATATCTTTTGATATTAAATGATCAAAGAAAGCTTGAAATATTTAATATTTATATTTGCATCGTACCTCCGATCACCACGTGCAGGCGTATTACATTTTTTCAAGTCTTGCAGTGTTTTGAAATGGATGGTGGCATGATTCGAAAACACGTAGAATATTATATATCTCCGAAATTAAAAATTGTGAAAATGTTAAAGTTCATTATTTCTGTAACTATAATATTTGAAGAGAATTCTAGAGTGGAATTAAAATTGTCTTCATTTTCAAGATTGTTCAAATTGTTAAAATTTTAAGGGTGCTATTTCCTTTTAAAATTTATAATATAAATTAAATGGTGGCTGAGGAGGTATTATCATATTTTAAAATCAAAGATTCAAAGTTAATAGTGATCTGAGGAGGTTGAGTGTTTGAAATGATACTTGAGGGATGTAAGTGTTGCAAAATTAATTTGTGGAGGTAAATTTTACATACACTATACCTTAGTGGAGCAAAGTGTATTTAAATTAAGCAACATAAACTTTAACAAATACAATAACTTATCTACAAAATGCAAAACCAACATTAATGCGACACTTTACTCGATGCGTATGCTAAATCGATGCAAATAAGCGTACTTTCATAGCGCTAACAGTCCGCTTTAAGGCTCCGTTTGGTTGCCAAGATAAGCTAAGATTAACTAAATAGTTGGACTTAATATGATGTTTGATAACCTTAATAAATTGTCGGGTCGACCCGCCAAAATTATGTAAACATTGCTTATCATGCCTTATCTTGCCTTCTAGTGAGTTTTTTTGTTGTACGTCGTGAGCTCCAGTAAAATAAATAGATATCATTAGATTATTTAATCTTATATTGACTAATCTTATCTTGACTAAGAGATAAGCTTGAATTCTATAAAGCTCTCACGACTCCTAGAAAGTGACTCAAGGTTGAAAAATACCAATTGTGTGAATACTATTATGTTTGGCGTATTCCACTAAAAGAAGGTTCAAGATCTATGTCTATCATTATTGATGTGATTTGGAACCCATAATTTTTTTAATTTTTTTTTTTTTTTTGAGATGTGGATCCCATAAATTTGTCATACTGTTGTTTGAGTGTGAAGAAATCAATTTGATTCTTGTGTTTAACGATTGTTAGAATATACTTTTAAAGGAAAAATTAGTGATTTTTCAAGACCATCGTCTTTCATATTCATGGCTAGGAGTGTAAACAAGTCGAGCTTGAGATAAGTTTGGTTGTTTTAGCGAGCTCGAGCTAGCATCCATTTTGACGAACTCGAGCTCACATCCATTTTGACGAGCTCGACCTAGAAGTCGAGCTTTTCGAGTATTGTTTTTTCTGAGCTCGAACTCGAGCCTGAGCCATTTTGGTGTATTTTTTTTATTAATATTATTATAAATTTATTATTATAAATTATAATTAAAAAAAACAAAATAAAAAAATGACCTGTAATTTATTTTTTAATATTTATATTAATTTATTATTTTTTTATTAATTATTTTTTTATTAATTATATTTTAAAAAAAAATAATTAAAAAAAAAAACTCGCTAACTGACTCGCGAGCTTACGAACAACTAAAAATGAGCTCGGACTCGACTCCTCAGAGAGCTCGAGATCACGAGCCGGTTTGGCTCATTTACACCACAATTCATGGCAGTAGTCATTATTAGCATTGAAGCCTTTTGAGTTATAAAATTGTTATAACCATTGATCATGAGAGGCCTATGAGGCATTTAAATTGCAAAACATTAACTCAAGTTATTAATGAAGAAGCATTAGAGTTATAGTTTTGCAACTATAGTCTATATATTGGGCCTATGCCCAAATTTAAACAAAAAAAAAAACAAAGAAAAAAAAAAGAAAAAAAAAAGAAAAAAAAGGTTAGAAATAAATAAATTCTTTTTCTTGTCATTTATTTTCTGACCACCAAAATTTTCGTAGATTTCTTATGTTCGATTTGTTCGGACACTAGAATTGTACTAAGAGTCTCGAAAAGTAGTTTTTGTACATGAATCTAGAAATACCTCAAAGCAAATACAGCTATAACAAACCTTATTACACAAGACCCTTTCAGAAAAAGAAAAAAAAACATTCTTCGTTTGTACATGTTAAATGTCGTTCGTATTCTACTAACACCATTTTGACTTGGAATGGGATTTTGACCATTTTGTAGTTCGATTTTGGCAAAATAAAAAACACGGAAATCGTAACCCTCCCTGTTAGCTTTGTTATTTTAATTCAACCCAAGTCAACTAATTTGGATGTCGGATAACAAATTATGCATAAATGAGTTATGTCTTGAATTTTAGATAACTCAAATTATCAAATTTGTGGGAAGTGTTGATTGACTCATAAATAAATTTCTCATCCGATATTCAATCCTGGCGATTCAAGTTGGATTACAAATCTAACTCGAAGAACTACAAATTTTGTATTTTGAGTTTTGCCCAATTCAGACTCAAGAATGGTCAAAATCACGTTTGAAGTTGAAACGGTATTATTAAAACTGAAACGACATTTATCACAATAACCAAAGTAACACAATACACAATAGGCAGCCACTCACCACTATAGTCATTAAGCACCACAATGAAGGAAATCAAGAGAAAACAATGAATCCACCGAAAAAAAAAAAAAAGGAAAATCAGAGGGCTGATTTTGTCGAGTCTTCCATATCGTACTAATTTCTTTTTCATACCAAGAAATAGCATAACAAATTCAATTTTCATACGCATCAAACGATTACTTCGAGGAACAAACAAAAGATCGGTAATATACTCCAAGTTCGAACAGAAAAACTGCTACTAATAATAATAGGTTTTATCAGTTCGTAGAACAAACAAACCATAAGTGAAGAAACTTATGATTAACCATCAATGTTGTAGTCATCTTGTTGCAAATACGGATTATAATTCCCTGGAACTTCTATCTTTCCTATGAACTGCTCCATTCCTGCGTTTACAAATTCCACGTCATCAAAACATGTAAACGAGCACGTATATAAGGACAAAAAAACGAAGAAAGCCAAAAAGATGAATTTTACATGTTTGAAATATGCTTGTGAGAGGCCAAGAGAATGATGTAACAATCTACAATTTATGATACATACATATATTCATGTACTCGATAAGTTCGATAATATATCTCTATTTATATATATGAACGATTTTTTTAGGGTGAAGCTGATACAAGTGCATCGTAATAAGTTCACATGCAAGTATATATTTACGCTCTCTACGGTTAAATTCAGATATAACATATACATATAAGAGCACATATTATGTGTATTTATCAACAAAATGTCTCTATATCTTCAAGGACAGTTCTTCAGATATATCGACATCTCAATTAGCCATTAAATAGAGAAAAATAGTTATTTTCATTGTTTTAAAGCGGGGTTTGTACTTTATTGTATTTACCACCCCCATGTTTACTCTAATTTTCAAAAAACTCCTCGTATTATAAATATTAGCAAAATCCCCCATATGATTCAATATTATTAGCAAACTACCCCCTAAAAATGCACCATTTAAGTTGGCTTTCCCTACCCCAGCATATCTAAAGTTACTTCTTCTTTTTTTTTATTTTTATTTTTATTTTTTTTTATTATTTTTTTTTTATGATCGAAACTATGGAGTCTAATATACGAGCAGTTATTTGTCGAAATGTTAAGACAAAATAAGAAAAAAAACGATTCCAAAAGGAAAAAAACGTACTTGAATTGGGCAACATACTTCCATAGAAAGAGGGCATCTGCCCGAAACCCCCACCAAACTTGGAACTAACTTCCTGCGGCAAAGTGGGCTCCGCCTTACTAGTTCGTGGATCCACCGCAGAACTCGACTGAGGGTTTTGGAAACAAAGATCCTCAGAATTCGAACTCAGAATATTCTGAGGTTGAAACGATTCATCGGTATTCGTCTTCTTCTCATTGGACGACTCAACCTCCGTCTCGACTTCCGACTCACCATTGTTGTTGTTGTTGGATTGTGGTGCATGCTGCTTCCTCTTGGACCGAGCTCGTCTGTTCTGAAACCAGTTGTACACATTCGTTTCGGAAATCTGTCCGTGCTGAGACAGCTCGGTTGTTATGTCTTTGATCTTCTGCTTGCTTGGTGTACCTACACCTTGATCGAATATTCGTTCGAGAATCTGAAGCTGCATCGGCGTCGGGGTCCACCTCTGCCTGCCCGTTATCTTGTGGGCCCCGGATGTCATTAACGGGTCGCAGTATAGGTTCCCCAATCTCACTCCTTACGTAGGAAACGCAGTTTATTCACATCAGAAACAGCAAATTTAAAATCCGAAACCATTCTTACTTCTAAACTCTAATCAATTTATTCGGCAACCGAAAACAAAAATGAAAAAGCAAACAAGACGTAAATATAAGAAAAACGAGCAACTAAAAATACCGAATCATCACAAAACGATCGAAAATTCGAAGACAAAAGAGACGATTACTATCACTCGATTACTATCACTCATTACGCCAAGTGTAAATTATTATCAAGCATTGTACTTAATTGGACAAAGAAGGAAAAACAGTAAACAATATATATCATAATACAAACAATATATATCATAATACAGTAGAACCTCGATAAATTAATAACCTCGATTAAAAAATAATAGTTTCCCTCGGTCCCGAATCATTGAAAACATGTTGAATTATTAACTCGATAATTTAATAATTCGCTAAATTAATGGAATTTCCCTAGTCCCGACTGTATTAATTTATAGAGGTTTATCTGTAGTACACATCCATCATCAGTAAACCCCACGCGCCCACCCACGCGCCCAGTTATCACATCCACAATCTAGACTAAAAATTTTCAATCCAAAACCTAAAAGGATTCAATCAAAATCAGAATCAAAATTGAATCAATCAAAATTGCAAACAATTGCTCCACAATTTAATTGAATTTTAATTTGAATTTGAATTCCATACCAGAAAGATCGTTCTGAGAGGTGAGGGTTTTATGAAGTTCGACGAGCTGCTCGCAAATGGTGGCGTAAACAGCAATCTGCTTGCGGAGTACTTCCATCTGCTCGTCCGTCATAACCTTCACGTACATCCCTCCTCCGCCGCCGCCGCCGCCGCCGCTCGGCTCCTCCGCCTGCTGCGGCGGTTGCTTTTCCCACTCCATCATTTAAAAAACCCTCTCCTTTTTTTTGACACTAGAAATTGTTTGTTGGTGAAGAGGAAAGAAAAAAAAAAAAAAAGGTAGCGACAAAGCAAAGCAATTAAAGAGTCAAATTAAGAGTGATCGCTGTTCATATATTTTATATATATACAAATAAAGACAAAAGTATAGTTACCAATTTCGATATTTTATACTTTATCCTTCTCCTTAATTAGCGCTCACTGTTGGAATCAAAATTCGGTGATTTATTTATTTATTTGTTTATTTTTAAATATATATATATATATATATATCATCAGGGAAAAGGTGATATATTCCTCCATATTGGGATCTTGAATAATATTTGAAAATATTTGTATGATCCCAATATTAAGATATTATACTATTATGCACATTTAATTCAAAGAGTGAGCTGTGAGGATGGGTTTGCTAATTTAAGTGAGATAATTTACTTTATTACTGATTTTTTTTGGGTAAATTACAACCAACCCTGAGGTATGGTCAAATTACGAAAATCCCCCTTTTGTTTGAGTAATTACATCCACCCCTTTCTTACACGTCCATCCTTGTGGTTTCAGATTTAGTGGAATTTTCTAGATTATATGGAATATTCTCAATTTTGGACCCGTTTTATCTCATTCGAACTCCACATTTTGAAGTTAGATGATTAGAAAATATGTGTTTTTTGGCTTGTATATATCAAATTGTGGTGCATCAGAAACTGCATTTTTTCATAAAACGAGTACAAACTAGAGAACATTCCACATAATCTAGATGATTATGTTGAATTTGACACCATAGGGGTGAAGATGTAAGAAGATTCATAGTTGAGGGGTGCACATATAATTATCCAAACATGAGGGGGGTTTCGTAATTTGACCATACCTCAGGGGGTTGGTTGTAATTCACCCCCTTTTTTTTTCAATCTACAACAATGATTAAAAAATCAAAATCAAAATAATATTAAGAGTTGTATTATAATATAGTGTAATACATATATAAGTCTATAGCTTGTGGACTAAGTTTTGAGGATACGTGTCATCCTCTTGTTTATAGATATCTTAGGCTTAAGCATGACAAAGCCTATAATATTTGTGTATAAATATGTTCTCTTGTTGAGAGGAATATACACTTATTTTCTTCAGCAAATTTCTTCTCTTTTGTTAATCTACAATATACGTTTATATACTTTGATAATGAGCTAGTAGAGTTATTCTATTACACGTTATCAGCATGAGTTTTTGCTCGATAGGATTTGCTATTTTCGTATTCTTCTTTCTATTTTATTTTACGAAAATCCAGATCCTCGATCTATTGTCGAAAAGACAAACGAGAATGATTAGCGAATACTTCGGTATTTTATACGCTATCATTTCTCAATGGATATGATGGATTCATGTATATTAGTCTATAGCTTATTTATTTGTTGAATTGCTGCTGAAATTTATATTTGCAAGCTTGTGGATCCCAAGCAGTGCTATAAGCACGTGCTATATTTAACAGATCTGTGGGCCGACTTAGAGGCCAAGATATTAACTCCGAGTATGATGCTCGTCGAGTAAAAGATATAATAATCTCAGTTGAAAGTCGATTTAGAGACTATGAGATTAACTCCGAGCCTGATGCTCGTGGAGTTGGAGAAATAATAATCTCCGTTTAAAGCCGATTTAGAGGCTATTATTTTAATTCCTGGCATAGTACCCGTAGAGCTTAACATAGACCGTATTGAGGTCTTACTATAACTCCGAGCAGAAAAACTCGTTGAGACAAGAAAGCCGATTTAGAGGCTAAATCTTTAATATCTCCGAGTTTGAGCTCGTTGAGACAAGAAAGTCGATTTAGAGGCTAAATCTTTAATATAACTCCGAGTCTAAACTCGTTGAGACTAGAAAGCCGATTTAAAGGCCAAATATCTGAAAATATCTCCGAGCCTGAAGCTCGTTGAGTTTAGACGTGATAATATCCGTCAAAAGCTGATTTAAAGGCCAAATATCTGAAAATATCTCCGAGCATGAAGCTCGTAGAGTCATTAGACGAGGTAAAACCCGTCAAGAGCCAACTTAGAGGCTATTGATCACAAGTCCAAATTTAAGGGTTTTGGGTTATTTTGTACCCACTGTATATAAATCTCTCTTGGAAGGTGTGATTCCCAAGATCGAGTTGTTTGGGTAAACCCACATGTACATATCTCCCTTGGAGGATAAATACCCGAGGTCGAGTTGATTGTGATACGCGTACATGAAAAACATGGACAAATATGACTATTGCATACTCGATAGTGCAACTACATACTCAATATTCAATAATAAAATATATTTCTCGAGTGTGACTTTGTGCAAGGCACAAGTTAAAATCATATCAGATCCCTTGGAGATAATAGATGACTCCGGGAGTGCAACAATTATGTTGCCTAATGATACTACGTATGCTTATTATATACGCGAAATATAGCATTTGCGCGTTTGCTGGCACATATTATTGTGCAGCTCTGGGAATGAATTTCGAGCACCCATTAGTATACGTTCACACTCAAAATCGACTGGCGGAATCTTTGATTAAACGCGTCCAAATAATTGCTCGTACTTTGCTGATGAGATCTAAACTCACTAGTGCAGCATGGGGCCATGCAGTATTGCATGCATCAACACTGATTAAATTACGCCCCACTGCCTATCATATGCATTCTCCAATGCAATTGGCATTAGGCTTTGAGCCCGATATTTCGCACATTCGCACATTTGGTTGCGCTGTGCAAGTGTCAATTCTTCCTCATCAGAGGACTAAAATGGGTCCCCAACGCCGGCTTGGCATATACGTTGGGTTTGATTCACCGTCGATTATTAGGTTCTTGGAACCAATAACGGGAGATTTATTTACCGCTAGATTTGCGGATTGTCATTTTGATGAGACATTATTTATACCGATTGGTAAGGATATTCAGAATATCCGTGATAATGATAAACAAAAACCAATCGAGAATCTCACATGGTGTGAGCAACATTTATCTCATCTCGACCCACGTACCTCTGAATGTGAAAATGAGATCCATAGAATCATTCATTTACAAAATATTGCCAATAGACTTCATGATGCATTTAATGATGCCAGTAAAGTCACGAAGTCTTATATTCCAGCTGTGAATATGCCAGCTAGGATCGCTGTTCTTGAAGAACATGCGAAAATGAATGATGATCTCCCACGACAAAAATGGGGTAGACCTATTGGATCAAAGGACGTTGTTCCTAGAAAAAAAAAAGGGGAAAATCGATGAACCCTCGAACCAAGTGGTTCCTAGTGAGAATGCTCCAGACGAATCTGTTGAGCCTGATATCGAAAAAGCGATATCAAATCTCGGGAATACCGAAAATCCCATAAGTTATTTCAATGAAATATGGGATATAAATGAGATAATCATCGCTAATATTTTTACATTCTCAATAGATTGTTTACGATGATTACAATAATGAACAACGTTTTGTAATATTGCAGATTATATAATGCAGAGAAGAGTCAGATAAATAAATGGCGGTATACGCTATTGGAATGAGATGAGCCAATATGAAGTACGATTGACATGCCATCTCAGAAGATATATATTGCTCAATTTCAGGGGGAGCAATAGTGCGCTGCACTCTTTTTCCCTTATGTCTGGTTTTCTCCCATTGGGTTTTCCAGCAAAGGTTTTTAACGAGGCAGCATATATGCACACGGCTTGGATTGAGTTATGCACTCTTTTTTCCTTCTGACCGGTTTTGTCCCACTGGGTTTTCCGGCTTGAGGTTTTTAACGAGGCATACATATATTTTACTCATCCAATATTACAGCCGATCGATACAATAATACTTAGTCCAAGGGGGAGTATTATAATATAGCGTAATACATATATAAGTCTATAGCTTGTGGACTAAGTTTTGAGGATACGTGTCATCCTCTTGTTTATAGATATCTTAGGCTTAAGCATGACAAAGCCTATAATATTTGTGTATAAATATGTTCTCTTGTTGAGAGGAATATACACTTATTTTCTTCAGCAAATTTCTTCTCTTTTGTTAATCTACAATATACGTTTATATACTTTGATAATGAGCTAGTAGAGTTATTCTATTACAAGTTGAACACTTGAATTTTATTGAAAATTGCATTTTGTAACCCATAAAATGACATATATAATTAACTTGTGTTTTAAAATCTTAGAATTTGCAAAGTATATCCTCAAATTGGATATCATATTGCAAAATGCACCTAACACTTTCGGGTTTTGGGTTACGGTTTTTGGGTTCCGAGTTTTCGGTCTCGGGTTTCGGGTTTCGGTTTCGATTTCGATTCAGATTTTGGTTTTCTATTTTTAGAGATATTTTAACCAAAACAAAGATACCATAATATTTTAACTTTTGAAGTGAATTCTAGGTGGTCTTTTTCCTTTTCTATATTATATTGTTTGAATTGTTTCATATGTATAATAAATAAAGAGACATGATTTTTTCAGCATCAAATTAAATATATTTCCTATTTTACCTCTTTCTTTTTCTTTTACCTATATGTTATATAAATTCAAAAACCGTCCACCACTAAATTAATTAAAATATTTATAAAAAAATCCACTATTTGTCATTGGAATATTTATCACATAATCCCATCATCTCGACCTTAAGTGAACAAGACCTTCGTCAGAGAAAAACATCTTCGAATGTCAAAAAGAGCTGGAATTCACGTTCTTAAAGAAATAAATTAAGAGTGCTTGTATGTAATGTTCTGAACTTAATGATTGTATGCAAGGTCCTGAATTTCCTCGAGAATTGCCCCGTTTGGCCTAATATAATTTCATTTCCTCAAAACAAACAAAAGTTACATAATCTGCACATCATATGATATGGATGTTTAAATATCTTGTAATAAATATTTCATTGGTAAAAAAATAGAAATAGAAATAACTTAGATCACATGAGGATTAAACGAGAATATAAGGAAAGGTGGTGGAATAGAAATTCGAGCGGTATTTATGATATTTTATATATTTTTGTAGTGAAT